TTATGTCAATATGTCAATATGTCAATATGTCAATATGTCGATATGTCGATATGTCGATGATTCAATCCACTGACGTAATGGCAGTTACTTCACTACGTAATGGCAGTTACACCACTGCACCACTACACCACTATGTCAGCTAAAAACAAAGCTAAAACTTCCTGGTTAGACGTAATAACCGACATAAACCGTTCCAACACGCACGTAATAGCACTAAACACTAATAACACACGTGTTTAAACGTGTTATTAGTGTTTTTGTCATGCACTTGAGTCGTCAGTACACTCTCTCATACTACCAGCTTCAACACGTTAATCTATAGTGGAGGTTTAAAGAAGGAAATAGAAATATCATTGTGTGTAGGCTGGATATAATGGTATTGTAGCCATGCCAACGCGCGCTGTCTACATGCTGTCTGTATTATCATGGCAACTGTTCTCATTCTCATGCTACGCTTGTACAAATAAACAGTGTACAAATTATAATTTCCTAGATCATCAGTATAATCAGCCTTGTTAATATTAACAGATCATTAACAGATACATGTAACTTTAATAAAAATCATAATACAAAACATTGATAATATTAATAACTTAACTACAAAGATATATCCGTAATCACAATCATCCCTAAAATAAAGCTGATAATTTAGCCAGCATTAATTAGATAATTAACTAGCTAATTAGGTAGAAGCGTTATATCCGGGAGTAACTATAGAACAATATTTAGTCACAAATAATCAGTCAAAATAAACCCAGGAACTCAAACGTCACGTATAGAAATAATCTGTCAAAATCCTAATTACAAGTTCGGTTTCCTGTAATCGCACATTACAGCAACCCATTTGCTCCGTGTTCAATACAGGTTGCTAGGTGACAATACAGGTTGTCACCTAGCAACCACACCTTTATATGAGTCACAATTAACTGATTGATCATCCTGGCATGAAGTTAGATGACGTCACGTGACAGTTTTATGACGTCACAGGTATTGCACCAGGATGTCTATATTTGGTATTGAGTAGCAGTGTAACATGTGGTACTGGTTATCTCACCCAATTGACGTATCATTGGTACTGGAATGTTAGCGGAAATACCACTCACAATGTAACAATATGGTTACCATAACAACTTCACGGTAACCATAACAACTTCATTTTCATGGTAACCATAACAACTTCATACCATTGCACGTGTCATTTCATGGTAACCAATAACCATAACAACTTCATGGTAACCATAACAACTTCATGGTAACCATAACAACTTCATGGTAACCATAACAACTTCATACCATTGCACGTGTCATTTCATGGTAACCAATAACCATAACAACTTCATGGTAACCATAACAACTTCATACCATTGCACGTGTCATTTCATGGTCACCAATAACCATAACAACTTCATGGTAACCATAACAACTTCATGGTAACCATAACAACTTCATACCATTGCACGTGTCATTTCATGGTAACCAATAACCATAACAACTTCATGGTAACCATAATAACTTCATGGTAACCATAACAACTTCATACCATTGCACGTGTCATTTCATGGTCACCAATAACTATAACAACTTCATGGTAACCATAATAACTTCATGGTAACCATAACAACTTCATACCATTGCACGTGTCATTTCATGGTCACCAATAACCATAACAACTTCATGGTAACCATAATAACTTCATGGTAACCATAACAACTTCATACCATTGCACGTGTCATTTCATGGTAACCAATAACCATAACAACTTCATGGTAACCATAACAACTTCATACCATTGCACGTGTCATTTCATGGTCACCAATAACCATAACAACTTCATGCAACCAACTTCATGGTAACCATAATAACTTCATACCATTGCACGTGTCATTTCATGGTAACCAATAACCATAACAACTTCATGGTAACCATAATAACTTCATACCATTGCACGTTTCATTTCATGGTAACCAATAACCATAACAACTTCATGGTAACCATAATAACTTCATACCATTGCACGTGTCATTTCATGGTAACCAATAACCATAACAACTTCATGGTAACCATAATAACTTCATACCATTGCACGTGTCATTTCATGGTAACCAATAACCATAACAACGTCATGGTAACCAATAACAACTTCATACCATTGTGCGGCTGATATATGTAATATGATACTCTTATATCCACTGCAACTGTGTGAATGTAAGTGACTGAATTAGGATTTAGGGTCTGAAAACACAGCAGGTGCAGCAGAGCGCGTCTTTAAATGAAGAAGTTGGTCCTCTAGGTAGTTACCATAGCAACCTCAGGTACCTCTAGGTAGTTGTCTTTAATTTGTTAAGGACAATTCATTATATTAAACATTATATTCATAATAATTACATAAATGAGATGATTTAATGGAAAGTCGACTGATTTAATCATAAACCACGCTGTAAGTTAAACGATCTAGTTTCAAGAACAACTCTATGCACAATACAATCCTTAATGCACAATACAATCCTTAATTAATTTCATATTCAATTTAATGTAAAAAGCAAGAGAAGTCTGGAACCTATAAATAGCCTAGTATTAGTAGTAAAATAATTAATCTTGAATGTGATTGACGTACCCTTCAATCTTAAACAATGTTAAATCATTTCTTGGAATTGAGTATTTAATTTATGCGGAAAGTCACGGTAATTTGAAACGGTAATTTGCAATGGAAACGTTATAAGTTTTATAAAGCAGCTGTACAATAACGAAAAAGCACAATTGACCTCTCTTTTATTCCAGCTCTAAAAATTATTTAAAACTCGACTCGAACAATTAAACCAGCTTCTCAATGGTGGGATTGTCACGTGACACACGTGGGCAAGTGATTGTCACGTGACACACGTGGGCAAGTGATTGACTGAAACCGCCGGTCTGATAAGCTATTATTACTGGTGGTAACCACTGATAAGCTGATAGCTGACTGCATGTTATCTGAATTCTATTGCTGGTAATGCGTCTCAGTCCACCAGTGTCACGATGGTCATGTTACGATCTTTACAGCAAGTAATTATTGTACACTGTAAAATAGTTTTATGTCACAGTTAAAATGTAGTTGTAGGTGTGTGTTAAGTGAATTTGTTACCATAGTAACATTAGTAGTTAGTGTCAAGTGGTCTAGATGTTTCTTTAAAAGCCATAAATTGTTAAAGTTATCAATTATATATTTTTTATCAAGACACTTATTTTACTTCGGAGTATTCCAACAGCCACATTGTTACACAAGTGCAACCAGCCAATTACAGGAAGCCGAAGGATTTGTTTTTAGCCAGTGACGGTTAAGGTAGTGTGTACCATACTTTCTTCGCCCAAGACTTTGCTGCAATGTGCAGCTCCTCATTTAACCCTCACACCCAATTTCTCGAGTATTCGGCTGAGTAGACCGGGGGGCTGCATATACCACTCAGGATCCTTAGCTGAACGTCAACGACGCTCACCCCACGACCAGGCAGACAGTACGATTTGAACCCGCAACCTCACGATTGCAAAGCTGGCGTTCTAACCAACTGCGCTACCTGGCCGTTAATATATAATAATATGTTAATATATAATAATATGTTAAATAGTATTATGGATGTTAAATAGAATGATAGTATCCCCAACACACAGTGGGCACACTGTGCAACAGCATGCTTCTCATTGACGTGTTCTGAATTTAATAATTGTAGTACTGTACGCACATCAACACACTCAAACACACTACACTAATAATAGTACACACTCTTAGGTTCTTTTTAAGAAACCTAAAATAGTTTACGAAGCCACTTTTGATTTGACACTAAACCAATACACCACTACACCACTTCACCACTTCACCACTACACCGCTACACCACTACACCACTACACCACTACACCACTACACCACTACACCACTACACCACTACACCACTACACCACTACACCACTACACCACTACACCACTTCACCACTACACCACTACACCAATACACCACTACACCACTACACCACTACACCACTACACCACTTCACCACTACACCACTTCACCACTACACCAATACACCACTACACCGCTACACCACTACACCACTACACCACTACACCACTTCACCACTTCACCACTACACCGCTACACCACTACACCAATACACCAATACACCACTACACCACTTCACCACTACACCACTACACCACTTCACCACTACACCAATACACCACTACACCACTACACCACTACACCAATACACCACTACACCACTTCACCACTACACCACTTCACCACTACACCACTACACCACTACACCGCTACACCACTACACCACTACACCGCTACACCACTACACCACTTCACCACTACACCACTACACCACTACACCACTACACCACTTCACCACTACACCACTACATCAATACACCACTACACCACTACACCACTACACCACTTCACCACTACACCACTTCACCACTTCACCACTACACCACTACACCACTACACCACTTCACCACTACACCACTTCACCACTACACCACTACACCGCTACACCACTACACCACTACACCACTACACCACTACACCGCTACACCACTACACCACTTCACCACTACACCACTACACCACTACACCACTTCACCACTACACCACTACATCAATACACCACTACACCACTACACCACTACACCACTTCACCATTACACCACTACACCACTTCACCACTACACCACTACACCACTACACCACTTCACCACTACACCACTTCACCACTACACCACTTCACCACTACACCACTACACCACTACACCACTTCACCAATGTTAAAGAATCACTGCCACCAACATTTAGACGATATTATGTACATGACTCAGTAACGTTACCATAGTAACATAAATAGTTAGCTGTCATTGTGTCTAACCAGATCTGATTTTACATACTCTTATATCACTCAGAGGTGCTAATTACAACGATTGCTTAATTTATTTATTTATTAATGAGATAATTACTTCAGGAGGAGATGAACAATGCCCTAAACCAGATGCGTATTAACTACGACAACGTAATTAAACTGGGCAACATGAGTGACATCCACAACAGTAACCCAATCCTGAAGCGTCGCCAAAACAAGAAGGTAGATCTTTGAGAGCTTGGGTTGCCCTGGTAACGTGTCGCGTGGGTACAATGAAGCTCTGTGATTGGTTCATTGTGCCCACGTGTGTCACGTGACAAGAGATAGTTTCATCTACGTCGTCATGAGGCATGTAAAATATCAAGACTGAGAACTCTGGTGCACACCACGTGACCTTGCAGCGTAACTATAGTAACGCGGCGTAACTATAGTAACGCGGCGTAACTATAGTAACGCGGCGTAACTATAGTAACGCGGCGTAACTATAGTAACGCGGCGTTACTATAGTAACGCGGCGTAACCATAATAACGCGGCGTTAAAGCACTCCTTTTAATTTGCTGATGTAAAGTGTGAACGTGTGTTTTACAGTTTTGATATGTTAAAATACATTGTACACTATACAGTTTACATTGTACACTATACAGTCTACATTGTTCACTATACAGTCTACATTGTACACTATACAGTTTACATTGTACACTATACAGTTTACATTGTACACTATAATACTACTACAATGAAATGATATCATCTGACTAAAATTACTTGTGATTGTTTCTGATCTGCTGGAATATATAAGTTTTGAAATGGTTTCTAGTTTCCGATTTTGACTATGATCTGATGTGAAATGTTAATAATAGTACTGATAGAGAAAAAAAGGGAATAAAATAATAAACTGCTCTTGAATCTTAATACTATACGTGGTTTAGAGGTCCTTCAAATTAAATTGTTAAGTTTAGCTCGCAACTAGATATACACATTAAGCAAGTTCTCACTAAAACAATGTACCAGTCTTAAATCAATACAAGTTGATAACATACTGTTATTTACTTTGAGTGCTTACTTCTTAACCTTTTAGAGGGCTCACTTTTAGAGGGCTCACTTTTAGAGGGCTCACTTTTAGAGGGCTCACTTTTAGAGGGCTCACTTTTAGAGGGCTAAATTGTATAAATTATTGTTTTTTATGTTTGAAAATGTTAAATGTGTAAAGTTTTATACGAGCTCACGGTTCAGTTAAAATCTCTTATTAAAAAACATGTGGCACAATTTTTCCAAAAAAAGCCTTTAAAATATGTATTCCGCTTTCCGCTTTGGTATACCTTAGAAGATATGGAGCGTATTATTCCATCATTAAACCTCTTGAACTGTGAGATTTTAAGTTCTTAATTACCTTAATCTTTAGGGTATCAATTTGTCCGAAATCACTTTAAATTCTATTTTTAGCATACTGCGTATTCCAAGTCAATGTTTCAATTGTTGATAAGTGTGAGGTCAGTGCAGCAAACTAGATGTGACCTGTAACGTAGTCGACTGTAGCTGTGTTTGTAGCATTGACTAAGACTGACAGCACGTGATACGTACGTGTGACATAAAAAACACGTGAAATTAATAGAAATGATACGTGACAATAATACAAATGATACGTGACAATAATACAAATGATACGTGACAATAATACAAATGACACGTGACATTAATACAAATGACACGTGACAATAATACAAATGACACGTGACATTAATACAAATGACACGTGACATTAATACAAATGACACGTGACATTAATACAAATGACACGTGACATTAATACAAATGACACGTGACATTAATACAAATGACACGTGACATTAATACAAATGACACGTGACATTAATACAAATGACACGTGACATTAATACAAATGACACGTGACAATAATACAAATGACACGTGACAATAATACAAATGACACGTGACAATAATACAAATGACACGTGACATTAATAGAAATGACACACGTGACAATAATAGAAATGACACCTGACAATAATAGAAATGACACGTGACAATAATAGAAATGACACGTGACAATAATAGAAATGACACGTGACATTAATACAAATGACACGTGACATTAGTAAAATGACACGTGACATTAATACAAATGACACGTGACATTAATACAAATGACACGTGACAATAATACAAATGACACGTGACAATAATACAAATGACACGTGACAATAATACAAATGACACGTGACATTAATACAAATGACTCGTGACATTAATACAAATGACACGTGACATTAATACAAATGACACGTGACATTAATACAAATGACACGTGACAATAATGCAAATGACACGTGACAATAATGCAAATGACACGTGACATTAATAGAAATGACACACGTGACAATAATAGAAATGACACGTGACAATAATAGAAATGACACGTGACAATAATACAAATGACACGTGACATTAATACAAATGACACGTGACATTAATACAAATGACACGTGACAATAATACAAATGACACGTGACAATAATGCAAATGACACGTGACATTAATAGAAATGACACACGTGACAATAATAGAAATGACACGTGACAATAATACAAATGACACGTGACAATAATACAAATGACACGTGACAATAATACAAATGACACGTGACATTAATACAAATGACACGTGACATTAGTAAAACTAGCAGGAACCCGTCTAACCCTAAAGTGGTGTCAAGACTCGAGAGACTAAAATAATTATTACCTATTTAATTCGCGTTTTTGACACCACTTGAGAGTCCAAATTTTGGGCACTAAAATTATTATTCCTTGGCCAATTTTTTAGCTTTTCATGCTGATTTGAAGGCCATTAAAGCATTTGACCCAGTCAAAAAAGTTTTAGTTGTATATCTGTAAGCAGTGGACACTTGCTTCCCGGTTCGAAGTTTATTTGCATTTAATTAAGGGTTTGGACAATGGAAACGAGCGTGATAATAAAGGGTAAACAAAGTTAAACTATGAAACAATACATAAACGCCCAGCGATCTAGTGCTGCAACATAAAACACGGATAGCACGGTCAACTCGCCTTGACCGTGCCTAATCTAGGTGCCCTGAAACAACCACTGCCGATTCTAAACCTCTAACGACACGTTCCATCCGTGCTCACCAGGCCCCAACCATAACTGGTCCTGGCCCCTTACACTAGTCCGGTATCAACCATGACCCTCTATCGAATAGGGTGAGAATGCAAACAAGGGGTATAATAAAGGTGCCCAAGGTACTTAACTGAACAATGAATAATCGACTATTTGCTCAACCAACGCTTAGTCACTTAGACTCATATTGCCTCAAATATTACGCAACACACTTCCTGCCGTTAATACTACCCTTAATCTAGCTTTACCTATCTGAGTCAACCATTGCTGTCTATTCCTCCCGGGCTCTTATTCTTAGTCTAGCTTTATCTATCTAAGTCAACCAGCGCTGACTATTTCTCCCGGGCTCTTACTCTTAGTCTAGCTTTACCTATCTGAGTCAACCATTGCTGACTCTCGCTCTGCCAGAGCCCAGTGTTGTCAAGACATCCCCTGGTGTCGGACCAACCATTGTTGACCCCGGCCACAACCAAGCCTGATAATAGTAACTACGTAATGCTCCACTATTCTACGGCCGCCAATATTATACTTACCACTATAGCCATCTACCTAACTAAACGACCTAACCTTAACAGGTTCTAGCTACAGAACCTGCCCGGTATCAAAATGACCCCCCCTCTCGATCGGGTAAACTGGCACTCTGCTATCTCCAAAAACTAACACTATTTTCCTCCCGGGCTCTGATAGTCTAAACAATCTACCATTTCCCGGGAATTGCAAACTGTCCTGTCGATAGCCACAACATAGTATCACTAGTATTCTGTAAACAATCTGTAATTCAACCTCGTACTGACTCAAACATATGTTAAACTGACCTCTCTGCACATAAACTGCAATAACTGTCGTCTACTAATATATGCCCAAAATACTACGTCACATACTGGACCCCACGACCGCCTTATTATAATCATTGCATTACACTATCTACATATTACACAATATTACCATAAATTCCTCTCAATTAATCACTGCTTACACAACTTTACAAAATATGTTCTTTCTTAGAACCTTACTATACTGGTACAATAATTTAATGGAAAATCTCTTACTATAGACCATATCTGTTGCCCGGTCACGGCTTACACAACTTTACAAAATATGTTCTTTCTTAGAACCTTACTATACTGGTACAGTAATTTAATGGAAAATCTCTTACTATAGACCATATCTCTTGCCCGATCACAGCTTACACAACTTTACAAAATATGTTCTTTCTTAGAACCTTACTATACTGGTACAATAATTTAATAAAGTTTCACAATATCCAAACTTAACGGCTTACTTTATCTGTCCATTTTCTCTTTCGTCTCTTCTTATCCCCGTCTCATTCTTCGTTGCGAACATCCTCATCTGGATCCGGTCCCGAGTCTCCGTTCGTTGTTCAACATATCTTCTTCTGGCTCTCGCTCCAGGTCTCCGCTCCTCGTTCTGAATATTTTCCTCTGGATCCCGTTCCACGTCTCTTGTCTCCTTCCAGATATCTTCTTCTGGATTTCGTTCCATGTCTCTTTTCTCCTTCCAGATATCTTCTTCTGGATCTCGTTTCATGTCTCTTTTCTCCTTCCAGATGTCTTCTTCTGGATCTCGTTCGATGTCTCTGTTCAGAATACAAGTTGATGTACTACGCATCTCAATCCGTGGGTTTAGTGTCACTGTCTCTCTTGTACTCCAGGTATGTTAACCATCTTCTCCTCACCGCCCCTGTTGGGTGATACTCTCCGATAGTTATTTATTAAGACTTTGTTTTAATTTTCATTTCAATATCGACAGCTCTTTCAGTTCCAAGTAATTTCTGATTTATCTGATTTTTTGTGATCAATGATATTGCACTGTTATTTCGATATAACTACTGTTATATAAATCTTATGACTCATTCTGACTCTGTATCTCCTTCCAGCCTATCTGCATTCTCCCGTAACTCGTCCCCGACCACTCTGTGTCTCCATTTATCAGCTATCTGTGTCTCCGTTTATCAGCTCTCGTCTCCGACTACACTGTGTCTCCTTTTATCAGCTCACGTCTCCGACCCGTCTATGTCTCCATTTATCAGCTCACGTCTCCGACTCGT